GTCCTCCAGACTTGGGTGTTGGGCTGTGTTTGACCCCAAGGGAGGTCCCAGAAGTTGCCTGCCACAACTGGATCTTCCGTTCAGTAGCGGGACTCCCCCTTATGGGAACTTGTGAACTGAGCACTGCTTCTTGCAGTGGGGCGTTCTTGGGGCTCCACCTCCCCCACCCTGGAGCCGGTGCTAGCAGAGGAGCTCAGGCTTGCCAAGACCACGTGACAGCGCAGCGACCGCACCCCTGTCCTGAGGTCCTTCTCAGCCCCTCCAGCTTCATGCACATGCCACGCCTGTGCACCCCTGCAATGCTGCAGGCTTGGGGCAGCGTGTGACAGCACGGGTGGGAAGCTCCAGCCAGCCCAGCATAGCGGGGCATTTCCCCCACGTGTGGGGAGCCTGGATGCCAGGCCCATCCTAGCAGGGGATGCGGGCAGAGCCGGGGGCCTCCCCCAACCCCTCGTGGGCGTCTGCAGGGCCTGGCAGAGCCCTGGGAGGGTCGACGCAGGCACCGAGCAGGGTCAGGACAGGTCTCACGCACTGATGGGCTGCCCCTCCAGGAAGTGGATGTTGTGCAGCGACTCGCCCTGCTTGGCTCGCAGGTTCTCCAGCCAGTACCGGATGATGTCCTGCCGCTCCTGCCGGGGGGAGAGCAGAGCGGGTGGGGAGCCAAGGGGTCCCCAAGGCATCACCCACGGGACCCACCCCCCATGCTGGGGCACGCTGCAGGACCCGGGTCTGCGGCACCCGCCCCGTGGCCTGGCCCTGTGACCCCGCTCTTTCCAGGGGCAGGGAGCGGGCGCCCACCTGGGAGGTGAAGAAGTAGAGCTCGTTCTCGATGTTCTCGTAGATGTAGTCCTCCTCGCAGGAGAAGCTGCGCATGCCGCCCCCGAACTCGGCCTTCACCGGCTTCCGCAGCCCGATCTCGTCCGCTCCCCGCAGCAAGCTGCCCGGGGGCAAGAGCCAGGGGTGAGGGGGGCCCCGGGGCCGCCCGGGCAGCAAGCGGCAGGGCGGGCGGGGGGCTCCTACCTCTCGTAGTTGGCGGTGACAAAGAAGGCGTAGACCTTGGTGAGCTTGTGGTGCCGGATCTGGATGATGAGCTCGGGGATGCCCAGCCGGATGTGGTTCAGCAACCAGAGCAGCGTGTGGTCATCCGTCGTGTCTGCGGGAAGCACAGGGAGGGCAGCGCGGGGCGGCCGGCGCCGGGCAGGAGGCGCCGTCCCCTCAGGACGACCGGCCCCCAGGCTCTGCGCATGGGGCTGGAGCTGCCGTGACCCACCCCAGGGGCCCGGCAGGCCGGCTCCCTGTGCCCGCGTGCCTGGCCGGCTACCTACCGGGGAAGGTCATGAGCACGTCGCAGTTCTCGGTCGGCACCGTCTTCATCCAGGACTTGTGGGACATGATGTAGCGCCCAGCCTGGAGCAGCCGCCTCCCGAAGAGCTTGTCTGCAGAGGGAGCCAGAGCAGGGGGTGGTTAGACACAGAGGCGAGGGATGCTGACACTGTTCGGGGAGGGGACGCAGCGGCCGGGAGATTTGGGGCAAGGTTTGGCCGCCCCAGCCCATGGGAGTTGGGGCCAGGCTGACCCCCGAGGCATGTGACCGGGATCGCTTACAGCCCAGCTGGACGGGGGCCACATGGCACGGGAGGGCCGGAGCTGCTGGCAGGGCAGAGGGCTGCGTCTGGCACACGTGGAGCGCACGCCGCATGCACACATGGCACTCAGCGGGCAGCACCGGTTTCCAGCGCCACGACACTGTCCTTGCCCAGTCCCTGCATCCTGCCCTGCCTGGGGCGCCGCGCCCACGCACCCTGCACCACAAGCTCAGATGCAGCCTCGGGGGCAGGTCCTGGGCAGGGAGGCGGCACTGGGGGTGCGGGGCAGGGGCATCGACTACAGGCCGAGGGCCGTCTCCAGGCGTCGAGGGGAGCAGAGCGGTGGCGGGAGGACAGACCAGCAGGCCCTGGCTCGGGCTGGGGCTGGCAGCAGGGTGCATCATCTTGGGCACAGAGCCACCCCCACACCCAAGCAAGGGGCATCCCTGATGTGCCCCCCCAAACTGGTCCTGTGCAGGCGGGGTTCTGGGAAATGTAGTTCCCCAGGGGATTGTGGGAATGGCAGGCTGGTGCAAGGCATGCTGGGAAAGCAGGTGGGGTACATAAAGGGCTGCTGGGGCAGTTGCAAGTAGAGGTGAGGGTGGTTGTTGCTGCTGGAGTGGGGTTGTGATGCTCCTGCTGTGATGGAAGGGGCAGCTGGCAGGCATGAGGATGGGACTGAGGGGGCAGTTTGGACCTCTGGGCTTCAAGGGGGAGGTGTGATCTGGCCCCCCCCCCATTTGCTTCTGGGAAAGGAGTGTGCCCCTGGCAGAGGCAACTGGGGGCTGAACTGCAGCCTCCTGGCAGCCCTGGCATTGCTGGAGAGGAGCCCAAGGCCTCGTGCTCGGGGGAAACTGAGGCAGGGCTGCACTGCAGCAGGGCTGGGTGAGTCAGATGCCTGTCCCGTCCCTGTTGACCATGGGGCTGTCGTGGGGCTGCTGGGGGGGGTCCAGCTCTGCTCGGGGTGCGTGCAGTGCCTGGTGCCCCGGCGCGTGGGAAGGGGGCTTCCCGGTGGTGCAGGCAGCAGAGCGACACGCTGGTATCCGTGCTCTGAATGTACGTGCACACTTACATGCGTGCACGTACACATGCAGGAGCATGTTCCACTCCCAGCTCTCCAGTACCCCCCCACCACCCTGTGGTCCAGAGCTCGGACCCCCCCAGGTCTCCCCGTGCCTCCCTGCCCTGGTCCCCTGCAACCCCCTCCCAGCTGGCTGCCACGTCTCTGGGCCTGTCTCCGGCTGGGGTGAGGAGCTCAACCCGAGGCCAGCACAGCCGCGGCCCCGGAGCGGCCTCCAGCTCCCAGCCTGCATCCCGTGCCTCTGGGGCTCCTGCACCCCGGCTGCGGAGCGGGTCCCCCAGATGCCAGACCTAGCCCTGGCCCAACGCGCCGACCCGGGGCATGCGCCCCAGCTCTCGGGGGAGATCAGCCCCACAGGTGCTGAGCTAAGGGCCCCTGCCCATCAACTGCCCGGTCGCAGGACAAGGTGCCGGCTCTGCCAGGCTCCCGGGGGAGCTCCCACCCCCAGCATCTGCAGCCCCCACCCCCATAGCCCTGGGGACCACCCTCCCGGCCTCGCGCAACTTCCTCCCCTCCAGCCCCTGCCCCCATGCCAACGAGGGGTGAATTTCTGTGCTGCCCCTGAGCTCCCACCCCCACAGTCCTGCTCCCACTGCTCTTACCCCAGGCCCTGGCTGGTGCCCGGGCTGCGGGCAGGGATGGCAGCCCACCGCGTGGACCCCCCCAGCCACGGCTGCTGGAGAGAGGCGGCGTGTGCTCTCTAGACTTCCTCTGTCTCTATGGAAACCCACGGAAGTGCTGCACCCCCATGGGGGGGGGCGGGGGGGGAAGCAGGTCTTCTGCTGCACCCTGTTCTGTGCCCAGAGCAAACCGGGCTCCTTGCCTCTGGGTCCCAGCTGCCCGGTGCAGGGAACAGGCCCTGGCTGGGTCCCCACGCCCCGCCATCCCCTTCTGCATTGCTCAGCCCCAGCGCCCTCGCCTTGCCCAGGGCTGTGCTGCTCTCTGGGCACACTGGGCAGCTGGCACAGACAACAGCAACCCCACGTGCCATGGAGAAGTGCCCCGGACCCCGTGCACACAGCCCCACAGTGTGCAAATGCCCTTCGCCCCAACCCCTGGGTCTGCATCCAGGGCTGGACACCCAGGCCACGGCGTCTCGCCAGCTGGTGCCCCCCGGCCAGACCCACCAGTCACCGGGGGGGCCTCTCTCCAAAGGAAAAGCTGCCCTGAGGGACACAAAGGGTTAAGAGAAGCTGCATCCCCTGCCCTTGCCACCCCTTGCTCAGCCTTGTGCCCGGCTCGCACCCAGGCGCTGCCCAGTGTCTTGGCTGAGACCCCCCAAACTCGTCTCCTGCACCACAGCTAGTGGCATTCGCCAAGCACAGGTCCCTCCCCGCCCTTGGCAGTCACCGGGCAGGCGTGGGGGGCGGTCCGGCCTGTGCCTCAACCATCCTGATTCTGGCTGCATGTGGGCGAACCGGCTTAACCGCACTTCTGCGCACAAATAATTCAGTTGCCCTTTTCCCCTCCCTTTCTGTCAGAGACCCCAAGGGTCCCGTGGGTGCTGGATCTACCTGCAGATGCACGTGGGGGGAAAGAAGGCAGATCCCTGGCCAGGAACGAGGGGCTGGCTCGGGACACTGCTTTTCCCCCAACAGAGCAGGGTGCATCCCCAGGCTGGAGGGAGCATCCCACAGCGGCAGGGCCGGAGCTGGGTGCAGCCGTGCCGGGGGCGCTGGGGTTGTGGGGGGCCGTGGCAGAGCAAACAGCACCCAAGGCTGGTGCTCGGTGCTGGAGAAGCCGGCGCAGCGCCCAGGAGAGCTTCAGGCCGGGCCGGATGCTCCTGCCCGGGCGCGACGCTGCTGAGCGCCCACGAGGACATTCCAGGGCAGCCTGGCTGCCTGCCGCGGCTGCAACAAAGCCGGGCTCTCTCCGCGTGCACAGGCCCAGCATTGTGGGCTCCCGCCTGCCCTGGCACGGCTGCAGCAGGGAGTGGGGCTGGGGGGCAGCGAGGGGGCTCCCTCCTGCTGCCTACCTGGTGGAGCTGGGGAGTTTCCCAGGGTGGCAGGAGCTGGGCTGGGCTCTTGGCGCCTGTCAGTGCTGCCCGCTCCTGAAATGCAGCCACCTCTGGGGTGAAACCGCTGTCCGACTCGGGGCGACCCCACAGACGAGCTCCAGGGCAGGGAAAGGAGAGGGAACTCGGCGGAGCTTTCACCCCTTGGGAAGGGGACGCATAACTACCTGGGGCACTTGGAGATGGCGCATCTGACAACCCAGCAATTGCCACGCGGCAGGTCGCACCTGCTGCATTCCTGCGTGGGCTGGGCCGGATGACAGACAAGGGTGTGGCCCCTGGTAAACAAGGGAGACCAAGCTGGTACTTGAGCTAGGAGAAAGCCTACTCCTGTCTCTGTCCCACGGGCACCGATCCAGGATTTGCACGCAGCACAGCCCTCCCTGCGCACTCCCAGCACTGCCTGGGGAAACTGAGGTCCCTTGAAAGGACAGGGCTAGGCTGGATGTGAGCTGTGTGGTCTGGACCTGGATATTGGGAGTACAGCAGCTCGGACTGGAACTGGGAGGGGTGGGTGGTCTGTTTTCTCAGCCTTTGCTTTCTTGGGTGACTGCCCCTTCCTGTGCCTTGACTTCCCCGCCTGTGAAATGGGGCAACAGATTGCAGGCTGGCTTCTCCACACTGCTGGACAGCAGTCGGGCCTGACTGGCGAACAGCGACTGAGGAACCCGATGTTGGAGAAGGAGCCGGAGGTTTTCCTGGGCCTTCCTGAGCAGCCAGGAGGATGGTGCAGGACTGGGGTGTGAGGCCAGCACCCTGAGCAGAGCAGTCGGGCTCCGCCTGCCTTGCCCATCTCTCGCCCGCGCTGTGAATCGTGCCACGGGGAATGCAGGATGAAGCCCCTGGGACCGCAGCGCTGTCTGCCTGGGGCTGACTCTGGCCATCACCTGCTGCGTGCTCAGCTGCAGAACACACTCGAGATGCTTCCTACAGCGGCGCTGGGGCTTTCTGCCAGGGCATCCTCCCACCCCGGGCCCCCGGCACCGAGAGAGCCCCGGTGCCAGCGAGCGACTGGCAAACTCCAGCATGCAGCCAGCTCCAGGGTGGGATGCAACGCTCACAGAGGAAGCGACGGAGAGCCCCTGGCAGCTGGGCCTAGAAGCCTGCCCGGTGACTCGACTGGCCAGCCACGGTGCAGGGATGCAGCAGCGGGGTTGCCTTGATGGCTGTGGCCAGGCCGCATGCCGTCTCTGTCCATCCCGAGGGCAGCATCTTCCAGGAGTGTTAATGGCAGCTGATTAGCATGCAGTAACGAGGCTGCTCCGGCTCCCGGTGACCTTGCAGCCTGCGCGCAGGCCTGTCCTCCGCGCTTGCTGCAGCAGCAGCCCCTCCGACAGCAGGCTCCTCCCTGCTGGGAGCGATGGCCCGGCACTCTCCCCTGACGCTCCTGCTCCATCTCCAGCTCAGCTCTGCGCCTTCCCGGTGCCAGGATGCTGCACAGCGCAAGGAGCCGGGGGCTGCTGGGGTCAGGAGGCAGCGAGTCCCTCTGGGAATCTGGTCCAGGCTGGGACGGAGGCTCCACCGCCCAGGCCAGTCTGGCTCCAGCCCCCAACAGCAAACGCGAGGGCCTGCCCTTGTCCCGGACGCTGTCTGGCTTGCTCCTTGCCACGCCAGGCACTGCTCAGGCCCAGCTGGGCCTGTTTCTGCTCAGCTGCCTTGTCTTGACCTGTTTCCAGGGTGCCACGCTGGAATCTCCCTGCCCCACGCTCGGATGTCGGCGCCAGCTTGGCCGGGTCCCAGCTGTGTGTGCAGAGGCAAGGACCCAGCTGGGCCTGAGCGGTGG